CGATGAAGCGAGACTCGAAATAGCTAAACAACAGACTAGATATTCTTTCTTCGAACTGAACAACCATAGGTAATATCAGGAATGGCAGTCTGATCTCCCAGATTATATGAATTCCTTTTGCTCTTTTCAAACTATCAAATGTATTCAAACGGCAATCAAATTTCTACAGTTCGAAATATTTCCAATACAGACGCTTTATCAATATAATATGAACAATCACTGGAATTGGCTTGCCTCGATAATGGAGAGAAGAATCTCAGGAGCAGATGAGCCTGAAAAACAAAACATTCCTAGCTCGACCAAGATTGATTCCGATTGAAATGGAATATTAAAATGATTGCAAAAGTCCAATGATTCGCATCAGTACAGCTAATTGTAAGTAAATCGAAACTAAAGTGCATCTTAAAAGTATCAAGATTATGCTTCAATTTCTTCCAGCTCGCGAGTTGTGTACGAAAGCGGATAGTTCATTAAAACCGCCATAATTTTCGTTGGATTGAACAGCCATAGGTAATTTAATATGAAATTGGGCGCAAATTCTTGGATGAAACGAATACTTAATGGTGACTAACCCAACGCCATCAAAGTCAAATTGCTAACGGTATCGTTCCATATTCTAACTTTCACTTTCAATGGTTCAAGTCCTGGTCTCTTAACGTGCACTGTTCGCTCTTGACTGAAAACATTACATCGTCGGATAAGCTGAATCATTCGCGTTCAACAAACATTATTTACGTATAAATTCTTGTCGAGGATGAATATCACAGGAGTATTTCTTGACTGTAGTAGGGAAAATGTAGATAAAAAATCCAGTTGCAGTGATTTGAATTCGACTGAATCTGACATCCGCTGACGGTATGTGTAATGAGATTAGACAACTTTTTTTTTAGCTGTTTAGATGGGGCTAGAATTTTTCTGTGAATCAATGAGTTCATTCAAGAGGTTGCGTTATATCGCATAAGCGTTGATCAGGAGGAGCGTCATGATTAGTATAGTGGTTGGTATTAAAACAAACCTTGTGATCACTTCAATCGAGGACATAAAACGATCAGCTACGATCGAAACACCCAGGAAACAATAGGCGATAACGAAGAAGAAGATAATGCCTCTCTTCACCCTATCCTTCGTGGACAAGTCCAAAAATGGACGCCTGAAATGCTTCCGATTGCACTTGCGACGGCACACTCATTAACTCGTGTTTCCCACTGCAGACATGCCCGAAAAAAGCGAATGACTGAATCTTTCTCTCGATAAAGTCAGCCATACACAACATTTTCAGGTGATTCTTGCATTTAGTTTTCGGATAATCACTAAGAATTTTTTCGGATAAGATCTATGATCCGAGAATGAAATTCGCATCATTCCGAACGTCATCCACATATGGCATTATTTAGCTGTGAAAACTGATGTAAAACATGTAAACTTCTCATCTTACATGGATGAAGGTGTGGAAATGTTCACAAACACTCTACAATTGGGAAACGGATCAGTAGGCATCCCTCATGTTTAACTCCGCATCCGATGTTCGGATCTCGATTTTGTGTCATGTTTTGTCACTGGAGGAATGCACTGCTACAGATTAGCACACTCTATATTGGATGCAAAAAATGAATGCATGAAAGTAAAACAGACCAAATCGGTACAATCATGCCATCGATGCAGTTTTTTGTGGCGTCCGCTGCGGAGCAGTTTGTGCCCGCTTCACAGAACGTAACCACTGTGCACAGGATCACCAAAAGGATGAGAATGTTCAGTCGCATTTGGCTGGCGTAGATTGCTGTACACGATCAACAATCGTTTTCAAATCAATGTTTAGCAGCAAATATGCCGAAATACTTTGCTCAGACTTCGGGTAACGGCTTGAACTCAACAGTGTTTTGTTTGAGCTGATCAATGAGCATGAGATCCTTGTTTTACTTGCTTAATTAATTCGTCGTCGTCGTACCCACACCTCCCGACGGTTCGATCGCTAACTGATGAAACCGTTCACTCCCGGAATCAACAGACGATCTCAATCCAGAGCAATGGGCTATTCGCAAATCTGAAATCATAAGCGAAACTAGTATGAAAGCACGACGATAGCGCTTCAGCGTTCGCAAAAGTACGAGCAATAATCACAGAAAGTAATTATCCGAAAAAGAAAGACGTGATGATAAAAGAATAAAGACGTGGTACCGCAGATCAAAAAGCAGTCTTTCCTAAAAGATTGATAAGCAGTTTCTTCGTAATGAAGTTCATTGCGATCAGAAGTATTCATTACTGGTCAACAACCACCAGCTCCGATTGAGTAATGAAAATCGCATTGCACTCATGGAACAGGTGATTCAACGAAGAGAAGCTCATAAAATAGAATTAATTGAACAATGAATAAGAAAACATCGTTTGAAAAAGAAGGAATCGCAGTAATAATCAATTATACTACGAAATGAACGGTTGAACAAAATTCTATGGTGTGATTATTTAACGATCACAAACCGAATCAACGACAAAACACAAATTTAAGTGGCTAAACGAACGAAGATTGCATGCGAGTTGATGCAAAAAAATTGATGATGCACTGAAATGACATTGAAATGTCTCGCGGTTAGTCATGAAAGGATGTTGATTTATGACAAGTTCAAGTGAATTTGCCCTCACATATCATTTTTTCAGCATGAAATATCATAATCATTTCTACATCATCGGTACCATTCAGATAGACAAATAATTTGTCACTGTCTATTGTGCAGGCAAGAAGTTTAGTCTTACACAATTTATTGCCATTTATATTGCGTGTCTAGGTCGATCTCAAATGTGAATATTTCCCAGGTTTAAGATAGCTTTCTCCAGGAAACACAGCCACCAGCCAGCACCTACTAGTATGTTACGCACTTGTGATAAACTTATGTATACTCAAAAATGTTTGATGATGAGAATCTCGAGTTGTCACGTCGGTAGGAGGATGGGATGTGCTGATTAACAATTAATTACATTTCGAATGCATCTACACCATCAAATATTGATGTCAGTGAATTTTAACATGAGCGAATTGCTTAAGAGGATCAAGTCTATCATGTTGTTGGTGTGATGACGCGTTTAGATTAATCTTGTCTGAGTAGCTAGAGTGAATGGGCTCATCGTTTTGTCATGAGTCTTTCTTCAACATCTCAACATTTGCATAATATTTCGTGCATCCCATTCACCCGATGAAACAGAGCCATCCCAGTGTTGAACGTCTAAAGTCTCACCCAAAGAGCTGTTGCAAGATTAGGAATGATTTCAGCGGATAGAGGAGCTAATTGGAATGGGAATGGAAATCATTTGGCGAATTTAATCAGCAAAATGTTTCACGGGTTAGACGGTGCATTTTTTAGGACAATTACAGTCTTATTATGAAAGAATACCATGCAAAATCGGTGATATTTTGAGGAATTATACGTTATGAAGCAATGGTCATTGATATGTTGCCTAAAAAAAGCAAAAAAGCATGATGGAAAGTGAATTCACACTGACTCCTGACATGCTGACAGCAGATGAACGCACGGAAATTCAATAAACTTCACAATTTGTTTGATTGCATATCGCTGAACTAGATTCGATCGCACTTGTCAAT